TTTCCCCCCCCCCCCCCCCCCCCCTCAAACAAAGCAAATGAGATCTACTAAACGCGTAAAAACAAGTTGGACTATATCGCCACGTATTGCTAAGAGGTATAATGTTCAACAGAGTGGATTTTTCTTCATTTGAAGCAAGATGTTTACCGAGAAAGAAGTCCGTGTGCAGTTGTTGTCGGCTTTCTTCTTCATAGCTGCACTTACTTACCAAGACGTTGAAGGTATAAAAGAGAATATTCATCGCTGTATTTTGTTTTTACACTTATTTTTATTTTTTTACTTTTTTGTATTTCCCAGCGCTGAGTATCAAAACTGGAATATGCAATTTCACCCTTACTACTCCTGGTCTGTTTGCGTGTGAAAAGGTTTCCTTTGAGAATTCTTTCAATGGCGGGCAGGATGTAAAAGTTTTCGTTTCCAAAAGCCACGCAACAAAGAGTTATAGTGGTGGAGATGGCGCGGCTATTTGGGTGGAATCTGTGGATAATAAAGAATTTACAGTTTGTGTTTTGGAGTACGGTGATGGTTCTAGTGGGACTACGAAAGTGAACTGGATGGCGCTACAATCTGTTCCTGTTGGCGCTCAACTAGAAACCGTCTCGCTGGATTCTTGGACCACTGGAGGAAAGTGTAAAAGGATTGCCTTTGAAAAGGTTACCTCTTTTTCCTCTTGCATTTTTGTTAAGTTAATAGTTCTTACTGATTAAGGTATTTCTGTTTGCTCAAGCCTAGACACAAGATTTCACTACGTTATTTTTTTGAGCTTTGCTTGACTAAGTGGCTTTAACTTGCTCTTTCTTTATTAGCTCGTAGGAGCTGCAGACTTTCCATTTGACTTCTTCCTTATATCTTTAAGTCATGCGATATAACATTGTTGCATTATAAAATACGATTCTTTATTCGTTTGGCAAGATCTTACATATATTGAAACCTCTATTTTTTCCTTCAAAGTTATGTTGCAATCTGTCCTCCACATTTCTTTCATTTTAATTTTTTTAATTTAAATTTCTAAATCTTTAAAAAGGTCTAGCCATCTTCATATTTTTTGCTAATTTTTGCTTTAAAAAATTTAGTGAGAAATTCGATTCCTTTTGTTTCTACGTTGCTAAGTTCATGATAATCGTTTTATTTACAAATTCGGTGTTTAATTCGTAAAACTCTTCTTAGTTTTTCATCTGCAAAAATTCTATTCAATTTGCTTCTTTCAAGTTCAGAATGATTTTTTCTATCACGCTTCAATCGTTTTATATCATATCCTTGTTTGTTTAAATGTTATTGATTATTTACTTCCTTCTCTCTTACTTTTTCAGCGTTTCTTAATTCCTCCGAGCGTCTATGTAACAACTCGCCATCAAATTCTCAAGAGACCTCAGGACGCTTTGGCATTGTGGGTAGAGGATGTACGCAGAGACAGTTTTAAGGTTTGCCTCAGGGAAACTAAGATTTTTGATGGGCTACATAAAAACATCAAGGTGGTAAGTGAATTCCTTTTGTTACCTGTTACATGTTTGAAAGTAGACACACGACAACCAAGCGGTTTAGTCCCGTGCTGGAACTTACCTTTGCTCTTTGCGTACTCTGAAATCGTAGCTTTTTTCATAAAAATCCTATGTTGGGGACCCTGTGATTTACACAGGTTCAGAGCAGTGGGTTCTCTTTTTGACTGGAGAAAGAATATATTAATAACATTGTTAATACTTTTCACTTTTCTTTCAGAACTGGATAGCATTTGTTAAGCTGATAACGATGAATTCTACCTCGATCCATGGCATTGTAACAACAAAGAAGAACTCACCACTAAACAAGCAACAAAACAACGCTCTCTGTCAGGTGAAGTAACTAATCAACTATACTGTTGTGGTTTCTCAGTCACTTCTATTCTTAAAAAGAAAATCTTTCATAAGTTGATGGAGCTCTAATGTTGTTATCGTCAACTATTTAAACAACATATATCATATACCGCATATGTGTAGAAAAACTTCATAACGCTGATTCTTTTCTTGTTTTTTTTTTTAAATAATAAAGTTCACTGATGCCTTCTACGCCCCTCCGGTAGTACTGGTTTCACCAAGACTCAGCTACCATAACAACAACTCGCTTTTCTCGGCTTCCGGAACTTGTAACGCAGTCCAATCAACCTATGTACGTTACGGTTTCGCTTTCTAAACGACCTTGATAGTAAGATAGTAGTTAAGGTAAGAAAATACCTGATGAAGCTTAATGATTGATAATCTGATACTTCTAATGATTGTGTCTAGCATACCTTTACAAACGAAACCGAGGTGTGTATGAGAAGATACAGCAATAACGCCAATTATAAGGACATCGTACAACTGGATTACCTGGNACCATAACAACAACTCGCTTTTCTCGGCTTCCGGAACTTGTAACGCAGTCCAATCAACCTATGTACGTTACGGTTTCGCTTTCTAAACGACCTTGATAGTAAGATAGTAGTTAAGGTAAGAAAATACCTGATGAAGCTTAATGATTGATAATCTGATACTTCTAATGATTGTGTCTAGCATACCTTTACAAACGAAACCGAGGTGTGTATGAGAAGATACAGCAATAACGCCAATTATAAGGACATCGTACAACTGGATTACCTGGTGATTGGAGGTACGTAAACAATTTATCAAAACCTTGGTAAAGGCTGTATGTTGCAGTGTATCAAGTACAATTTCTGACATGAATCTTTTAAAGTCGTGTCATGGAGAGCTTCTTTTCTCTAATTAATGCTATTTTTTGTTGTCTCTTTTTTGGGGAATTGTAGATTTGGTTGACAAAAAGAACACGTTACTACAATAACTTCGTCCCAATTTTTTTGTGTATTCAAGAAAATGAGATTTTTTAAGAAGTTTAAATTTCTTTGGCACAGTGGTTCTCCTAATCACGAAATTAACAGGCCCATATGTGATTTCATAACACAAAAATTCAGGAACTGAAAAACGGGATCATATGCACTCTTATCCTTTTCTTAGGGTCGCCAGTGTTGTTGCATTTAACTGCAATGCACCTCATTGGCATCTTAAAGCTTGTAAATTGGACTTGTATCTAAAGTCACGTGTTCTTTAATTTACGTTATAGTTTCTTAATATACGTCAGAGCCCCTTTGTTTCCGCGAGGCATCCGTGTGAAAGACTTACACGAATGGTATGCCAAAATGGTGGTAAATTTGAACGTCTCCCAAAAATTTTTTAATAACATTCTGTTCAAAACAATTTTTTTTTTCGCTCACGTTCTCATAGTAATGTGCAATTTCAATTCCGAAAAAATAATTTTTAAGGTATGGGCACTTTAAATCTAATCTGTTGTTATTTGCTTAATTATCTTCAGACTTGGATCCCTGCATAGACCTTACGTGTTATTATCACAGCTTCTGTAAGGCGTTTGGACCCCATGATGCACGCTGTGTATGTGTGGATAGCTGTCCATCTTACAAAGAACCCGTTTGCTCATCAAATGGCACAACATAAGATAACAGATGTTTGTTTGAAAGTGAAGTTTGTCTACATCGACTAAACTTAACCGTGCAACATCCTGGCAGCTGTGAAGGTTAGTACAGTTGTTTTTGAATCTGTTAAAAAGTGACTTTTGTTTTTGTTAGATTTCAGTATTAATCCCTTAGCGAATTTTTCGAATGAGCTATTTACTTACCCATGTAATCTGGAGGGAAAAAGGCGATAGATGCGTGACTTTATGGAAGTACAGAATTTTACGTAATTTTGCTAAAACGTTTGACAGGAGCGATGCTAATAAGAATACTGGTCAGAAAAAGTGGCGGATACACTTATGTTTTTTCAGTTAAGACTCATCTAAAATAATTGTTTTTTTTAATATATGTATCAGTGAAGCAAATTTAAAACTGATTCTTCTCTGTGAGATTAGTAGTAGTACTAGTAGTAGTAGTAGTAGTAGTAGCAGTAGCAGTAGAGTAGCAGTAGCGGTAGCAGTACAGTAGCAGTAGCAGTAGCAGTAGCAGTAGCAGTAGCAGTAGCAGTAACAGTAGCAGTAGCAGTAGTAGTAGTAGTAGTAGCAGCAGCAGCAGCAGCAGCAGCAGTAGTAGTAGTAGTAGTAGTAGTAGTAGTAGTAGTAGTAGTAGTAGTAGTAGTAGTAGTAGTAGTAGTAGTAGTAG